GGGTTCAGCCACAGAAGCTGCCACCGGAAAGCGGCACGGAGGCAGCGGAGCACGGAGATGATCCTGAGCTCCAGGAGATCCCGATGCTGCCGAAAATCGTGGCCCCACCCACGCTGACCCTTGGATATAAATTTTGCCCAAAACGGGGATACCTTCTCAGGATAATGATTAACATAATGGGCTGTCCCCTTCGTTTGACGAAGCTAGCGGCTCCCAGTCCTTGCGCAGTCACCGGTCGCATTGCTGCGACAAGGAATTCTACCGCCAGATGGTCATGTGACAGGCAGCGGTTGTGGATACTGGGTATCGCCGTACCCATCGTCTTGTTCTTCTGCCTTTGCATCATGGTGCCTCTGGTTTCGACAACCTGGCTCGCCTTAATGCGCCTGCTCCGACAGCCACCATGTCCTCGCAACATGCGACATGCCCTGTGCAACTGGGGCCGCCTTCACAGGGGGACCTTTGGCATTCAGGGTTTGCTGGTGCCTTCAACGAAAAATCCGTTGTGGGTGGACCCAAACTCGACCGTTGCCCATCAATCCATGACCGATCTCGTGGGCATCCTGCAGCAGAGCCAGCCAGAGGATGTTCACAAGAACTTGTGCCATTTGTTTGAGGAGTGGTTGCCCAGAGTGGGCATGAACGGGTGGATCGATTTAATTTCTGGCATGGAGCAGGCCAATGAGCAGGACTCCGGAGATGTGTGGGGCATCGATTTGGACGAGTTGTCCTCGGAATTGCTGGACATCTCGGTAGATTGGAAGCATGATCTTGGCGCCTACATCATCGGCCGGCTTCAACCCCATCTGCTGGTGCCTCCTGGTTCAAACTAGCATAGCAAGCAGGCTCGCACTACCTGGTGGCCATATCTTGTTTGCTTCGCAAATGATTCTAGCTTCACCAATGCCTGAGCTGCTGCCATCTATTCAATCTATTTAATTTATTACTGACCAAGGAGTGGCAGGGGCTACTTGTGGCACGCCGCGGCCCAGCTGACCTTGGCACTTCTTTATCTTCTTTTCACGTGCTCAGCAATCATAGTAATAACAATAATAATCATAGTAATAATAGTATTAATAATAATAATGCTGCCCCTTGAAGGTGGAAGTGGCCGGTTCCTTGAAACTGGGCGGCGCCCCGTTGCACGCTGTCACTTGGGCGGCAATGCTGGCCTTCCTGGAGGCCCAGAGAAAAGACGTAAAAGGACCTTTATGGGAAAGGTTGCTGGTATGCAGTACTGCGGAATTCTTTATCAAGCGCTTTTCCTTGCTTGCACCTGTAACTGCCGCTCTGAGCGGTCGAGGGCTGTGGTTGCACATCTGCAGCACCGAAAGCCGCCAGCCCTTGCATTGACCCTGGAGGCCTCCGAGTGGTCCAATGCGTCGGGACTGTGGGATTTTGCCATGGGACACATCTGCTCCGCGTTTCAGCAGGAGCAAATGGCCGGACGTAAACGGTTTCTGACTTTCCTGGGGACTGAAGCCCAATTGACCTTGAGGAGCTGCCGGGCCTCTTTGTGCACTGTATACATGGCTTTGGACATGGAGCCATGCTTGCCGGTATCGTGCTTGGCTTGGATGCAGGCGGCGGGAAACCCATAGATGCCATAGCTGAAGACGCATGCCCAACGAATCATTGCGCAACAGCGATCCACAATCCCCGCGACTTCTCGATACCGCATTTTATCTGTAGACGGCTTGTAGGTGGGGCAGACGGGCAGACCAATGAGCATGTCAAGCTACTAAAGGATGACCTGGAGTCGAACGCCAATCCGTTGAGCTCAAAACTTGCCCGCTTTTCAGGCCAGCGATCGACCTACACGTCTCGACCTGCATGCGAGCGTGCGCGAAACGGAACTTCGGGCTTCGAGCTGTCGATGCAGATGCTGCTTGGTCAAGCTTGCAGAGCTTCGTGTTTTTGGAACCAGCTACTCACCAACTATAGCTGCCGCCATGATTACAGTATACCTGCTGCCGCAGCAACATTGTTCTCGCGCTTACATTGCATATGTACTGCCCCTCACTCTCGCTCTATATAGAAGTGTACATGCCCTATGCGGGGGGGGGGGGCAGCTGAGGCTGAACAATGCCATGGGAATCTGCCGGTCAAGCCAGTCCCCGCAACTGCGTGCTTCGGTTTGACAGTCGCAGTTTCAACTGCCAAGTCATGGGGAATTGTGACGTTGCGCCCCGAGGCTACATTTGTGCCGGAGGTGCCTTCATGGAGTTTTGGAAGACGCGCGGTAAAGGATGGACTCCAAAGTACGACGGCGATGCCCTGCCAAAGGAGCCGATTGCAGAAGTGGGGGTTGCTCAAGAGTGGTCATCTCCAGAACGAACCCACCAGGCCGCCAGTTGCTGTATATACACAAGTAGGAATAGTAGGAACAGGCATCCTGCGGCGCTGAACCCTGAATGCTGGGACCCTATGTAGGCAGGCCGAACTTGCGGTGTGAGTGTTGCTTTGATTTGCTTTCGAATTCGGTCAAAGCTGCACCCCAGGCGGTGGAGAAGCGAAGTGGGGAAATGAAAACGTGGATGCGGCCTGGCAATTGAGTTGAAGTTTACGGCTGGGTCTAGGCCCTGGTCGCCGAAAAGGGTTTGGTGGTGGGTTTCCGTCTCAATCCCCGCGTCGAGTCACCTATTTAGAGACTCCCAAGATACCCTAGCATGTGCCAAGGTTCGAGCACAGCTGTGCATTTGCAAATTTGCCGGCAGCCTGTTTCCGCTTTGAGCCGGGCCTTGGTGTTGAGCATCAGCAGCTCGAATGGACTACAGGTAGTGTGTAAGACAGTGCAGGTGTTCTGCAATGTTATAAGCTGATTGGCGGGCTGATGCTGGCAGTAACTGTGCGTCTATTGCCCTGGCACTGAGGGCGAATAACTTCCAGGCCTTGGCCGACGTGCCACTCTACGAGCCCTGCACTCAAAGCATTTGGAGCTCTGGGGTCAGCTGGGACCTGGAGCACCTGCGCGGGTGTATTCTGGGACGCTCCTTTTCATTGTCCCTGGGCCTGAACTGCTACAGACACCCTGAAGGTCCGATAGCCAACAGTGAGAAAAAAAACTTTCTATCGAGGTACAAGCATTTCGACCTTTGGCGCTATGGGCGAGTGGCTCGGGACACGGCACATCCTTCCGAAGAGAGGTTGCCAACATTGGCGGAGTGGTGTTCCATGTACGCACCCGCAGGCCGGAGCAGTTTGGTTCCAGGGTTCTGTCCCCAAACTGGCAAGCTGTTGCTGCGCCATAGCCCCTGTGCTATCGTGCACGAAGACCCGGCAGGCCTGAACCAAAGTCATGCTCAGCCGCACAGCTGCAATCGGGTTCTCTCTCCTTCCTTCGGACTTACGCACACGGTCTAGACGCCTGCTTTGGAGTTATGCCGGCAGGTCCGGGGCTCAGGCTAATGCGGCTAATGGCTAGGTGACGAGGATCTGGTAAGGCTTATGCTATTGGTTGTGTTTCTGGTGATGCCGCACAGCTGATTGCCGGTCAGGGGCGACATCAAATTGAAGTTCCCACTGCTGCCGGGTGTCCGGTCGTACAGCAACTGGCTAGCATGCATTGCTGGCTCCATGGCGCATGTCGCCTTCGTGGCCACCTGGATGCAGCATGATGCGGTAGAGCAGCCGTCCAAATCCTAGAGTCCTCAGGACTCCGTACTTAACAGCGACCATCTCCGAAAGTTCCGGTTGGGGAGGGAATGTTGAGAAAGCTCAAAATAAAGAACACCCTTCTTCAATTTGGTTTCGCCGTGAAGGTGGAAGGGGAAGCAATCAGTGACTCTGTGGTGCAGCAGCACTGTGCTCAACTTGACGACCTGTCACATGGCTTGGATTAGCCTTCGGTTTGTGAATGCAACAGTAAGACTTAATATTAATAGTGGTGCAGGTTTTCCTTGGCATAGAGGAGCAAGAACCGCTACATAAGACTTTTGAGTTTTGCGGTTGCCACATTTTAGGCCACGTTAGGTGTAGTCTACAGCAATAGCAATGTGTAGTAGGTTGTCGTTTTGTTACATTGTGTTAGTCTCGAAACAGTCACAGCGATGTTCACGCTTCGGTTAGTTGTTTGCATCCGCAGATAGCACTTGGGCTACCAATTATGAGTCGGCTTCTTGCGTTGGCACCATACTGTTTTGAAGATGATGGCAATTTGAACCATGCATCCGTGCGCTTCGTCCTCCCACTGGACTCAGGGTTTTGTTTGATGGCTTATATACTGTAAAAGACCCGCGCAAGGCCTAGATAACTTACTGCTTGAGATTCTTGGAACTTTTCCTGCGTGCTCGTCCTTGAATTGAAGCCTACATTGCTCACCGCTCACCTGCGAGGCAGGGGCAAAAGCTATGTGTTGACATCGGCTTGAGCAGACATTTGCGCAACCTGTCAGATTTGCGTATTTGGCCCATTGACGTTCTCGAGCAGGAGGTGGTTCACGGCTTTTGAGCCGAAGACGCTGAGATGCCGTCCGCCGCATTCCGCCGCCATGAGCAGAACCCGACTGCCGGATGGGAGCTCCGCATCCTTGCGGCACCTTGCTCCTCCGGAAGCCCGTCAATCGTGAGCCAAATGTTGACTGGATAATGGTGGTCACGGAGTACGAGGGCAGCTGTCGAACCCCAGCAGCGTGCCGATGTACCAACCACTGTCTGTGTGTTTGTGTTGTTTGCCTGGCCTCGCATCTTCCGAACCGAACTGGCCAGTAGCATCCTGCAGACCTGGCGCTCGACTTCCGAACGACGACTTTTTCGCACTGCATGTCCACCGGCGTGGCACATTCTCGCGGACTGTAGACCTGTAGACGGTCGCAGTTAGGTGCTGACGCTTCAAAAAGCATGTGCATTTGAGGATTGGAAGCCCGGTCGGTCCTTCAGGGCCGCAGCGATCGAGCACATGGCAAGCTTTCCGGGCTTACCGGCGTTGTTGTCTTCTCAAGGGCGTGAGTCATGCCGCCCGTGTAGCAGCTTAGCCCTTTGTCTCTTTTCCCTGTTGCAGCGATGTTCTCGAGACTTACTTTGTGCTGGGCTGCTCTGCCACTTACTGTCGCATTTCTCCCGGCACTGCAGCTGGACGACGAATGCCAAACAGGCGAGTGCGCGCTGGAAGCTCTGCAACTGAAAGGCGGCCTCGTTGAGGACGTAGATGCAGATAGCAGTTGCGAGGATAGTACTGGTGGTGCCTGCATGGACGACGTCATGTGGGCGAAGAATGAAGGGATTCGCAGCCATCCGGACTGGTACCCCGGCCTCTCACAAGGTTCCAGTCGCTTGGCAGATCTCAATCCACTGGCACACGTGAGCTCAACACGGAAGCCTCTCCGCGAGCGCATGAACCCAGAGAGGTGGGAGAGAGAGAGCTGAGCTGATCACGTCGTCTTGGACTTCTTGCATTTGATCCGAGGCTTGCCAGAATTCCAATGCCAAGTATACAAGGCCAACCCTGCCAAGTGCCCAAAGCCTTGCAGTGTTTCCTGCACTGGGCCCGTGGCGCAGCCCAATCGATCGCCCACCGTTGTGGCTCCGAGCTGCGACTCTCGCCAGGGAGAATCTGGAGCAAGTGATTTTACCGCAGGAACTGTTATTGTTGTAGTCTGGCTTCGCTGTGCCAGTAGCCAAGAGGGACTGTAGCCTCAACAGTAACAGGAAGCAGCCCCCACAGGCACTCGCCTGCATGACAAAGCTGTTTTGCCACAAGCCCTGCTGAGCCAAGGCGGGCAAGGAGCAGCAAGATGCCTGCCTCTGCGTCTTCGACATTGATCGAACTCTGACCTCCAAGCAGGGCCAGCATGTGCCTCGCCCGAGCTTAGGGTGTTGCGGGCATGTTCGGGACCTCGGCCCTTCCGAGGAAGAAACAAGTGTCAGTGCCTGCATGTACGACATTTACGCTATTTTGACTATATTTGTGTGTGTGTGTGTGTGTTTCTCTCTCTCTCTCTCTCTCTCTCTCTGCATGTATGCAGACAGAGACAGACGAGGTAGGTTTCACTAAGTGCCTTAACTCCTCAATGCAAGCAGACCACCGGGTCCCTGTCGAGGGAGGGGTCCTGCGAAAAGAAAGAGAGTGTCGCCGGGACGGGCGCAATACTCTCGTCCTGAAGCCGAAACAAGCAAGAGAAGGCATAATGGTTTGACGAGCGAGCTGTCAGGACTGCTGACACCTCAAGCTCTGATATGGCGGCCATGTGCATCCTGAAGCGTGAAATCCTTATCTCGAAAACCTGGAGCTCCGGCCCTCCGGTTCACTTGTTGTAACTGTTGGAGACATGAGGCCGTAGCTCTGGCGGACTGTGGAGATCGCTGCCGCTGTAGGCTTCAAAGGAGAGAGAAGCATTTTGCTGCTCCTAGGCCCTCTGCCGGATGTGCATATACAGACACACTTAGGAGCAGTTGTCACAAGGCCCCAGACGCGAGCACGACCACTTCAGAGAAGCAGTTGTCAGAAGTACTTGTATTGCAGACACGTTGCCGGCGCCATGTCCCAAGGCTCCAGGAGTCCCAATCCAGTGTCCTTGGGCTTGCCGTCGCAGCTAGATGCCGAAGTGGTGGCTGCGACCCAGTTGGAGTCGCAGCTGCATGTGGCACCCACGCAGCTGGATGCACGTACCCAGGCAAGACAGTTCGTTGGAGGCAGAGTCCAAGAGCAATCGCAAGAGGACAGCGGAAGCGGTTGCAAGCTCCTCTGCTCCCACGGCCGAGCCAGAGTTGAGGATGCAGCTTCCGAGAACTACAGTCCAGACGCCAAGTCTACGGGACATTGGGCGGGTACTGCGAAGCTCGCTGGGCACCATAAAGGAAACAGCCAGGGGCGACCTTTACATGCTGCAAATCTACGAGGCACCCAGCCTGTCAGCTTCCGAGGCTACGAATCAGATTGGGCATCCTGTGCAGCAGCAAGTCCTGGCTATCTACCTCCTCTACTTTCTGAGTCGTATCGGAAGCTGGCCGGTTGGGCGCCTCATAGTCTTGCAGCATGTGGAAGTTGCCTGGCTTCTTAAGGAGGAGGCCCCGCACGAGTCCAAGCGGAAACAGTCCCTTGACAAGGGCGTCCTTTCGGGCGTCGGCCAGCGCCTCCCGCAGATTCGAGCGAGGACGTGCTCGAAGAATGTCCGTGCAGACAGCCACGACCAGCGAGCATGTGAGCAGGGTGCACCTCTTGATGACCCATAAATTTGTGAAACCAGGGTGCTCTGCCCTGTGCACTACTGTAAACCTAGAAGCACCTTTTCCCTACGCGATCGCCCCCTGGCCTGCAAGAGGCACCTCCTGGACGCTGACGAGACTCAGCTGCCTTGCGTAGTAGTTTGTCTGTCCTACACAGCATCTTGCCAAGGTCCTGGAGATGTTCGTGCACATGTTCGTGAGGTTCTACCATGGTCCCTTCTGTCTCGTCACGCATCTGTACTCACGGGAAATCTATGCTCATGCAGCTGCCCGCATCTTCAGACAACAGATGATCCTTCGAGCATCTTCGAGCCAAAGTCACCGGCTCTCAGCTCCTTTCTGGTATCCATTATTTCAGAACAAACAGCAAGCGAAACCAAGAACGAAGGTCTAAAAGCAGGACACCCGCGCCGAGCAGCTTCAGTTTGGACCTCTGATGCCTGGCTTTTCCTTGCATGCTACTCGGATGACAGGACTCCTGTTTTGACTTCCACCACAAAGCGGGAGAAATCCGTGATGCTCCTGCAACCCTCCGAACATGGATAGCTCCCCAACCTCCAACTCCACTCCACTGCAGCCAGTCACATTCACATTCATGTTTGCCAGAGTTGTCTTCTTTGCACGCCTCTGCACAGTCCGCCTCTGCAGCTGCAATGTACAGTCGGCCTCTACAGGTGAACCTCAGCTCCCGAGACCAAAATCAGCAAGCGATGTCAAGTTTGGCACGGAGCCGGCCCCGAGGAGGTCAAGTGTCCGCCTGCTCATCGCGCTTATGCTGAAGGAAAAAACGCGTTCCCTTCGTTTCTTTCCTGGGTGGCACATACCGCCAATGCACAAAGGTAGAGGGGTTACCTGCCGACTTGCGGAACAAAAAGAGAGAAAGCAAGCGACGGCCGGCGGATCTTAGTTTGGCAAGTATTCATGCTCCCACATACTTTTGGAGTTGTTACACGGGGCTTAGTGTTGCTTTCTAATCCTGGCATCAAGCCTGACGCTCCATGCAGGATGTCTGCCCTGGTTCCAGTGCGTCGGATGGAATTGTCGACACCGCATATGGAGGTGGCGATTTGGTGTTATCTGCTCTGGCAGCTGCACGAACCTTGGCTTGAGTGACCAACACCCGTCACGACGTGGTAGCAAGTTATTTTTGAGTAGCCGGACTCGTCCTTTGCATACCGACACTTTCGCCAGTCCCAAATACTCTGGCTTCCACGCTTCCTGCACGACCGTAACAGGACGACAGCATACTTTCTAATTAGTATCATGGTGAAGGAGTCGTTCCCTGAAGCCTGCGCGGCATCACTTCCCGAGGGCCAGCACTTTTGCAGCTTGAGCCACCGCCAGCTCCAGAAACAAGTGCTAGGTCCTTGGGTGGGAAGGCCAATGGTTTATGCACTGTTTGCACATACCCGTGTCCTTCGCAAAGAATCAGAAAACCGGAGAGATTTATTCAAGCGGGCCAGTCACGGTCGTAGAAATGACTTGTGCCGTGGTGTTCGAGGAATCTCCGGCACTTTCTGCGAGAAGTGCTACCTGGGCATCTGCTCCCACGGCGATGGCAGCGGGGCCAACTCTCGGGAGCGCGAGGAGACCGTAATTGGAAGGGAGGGGGTTTCTTGTACACCATAGATAGCGTTGAGCTGCATTGGTACCATTGCCTACAAGTACCCTAACTATAGGTTTTGGGTGCCTTGCGTTCACAGCCTTAAACAGCACCTTTCGATGTTACAACAAGAGGAGGGATGCTCAAACTGTGCACGGACTGCAGCCCGGAGCACTGCCCGACCTCGACAAGCCGAGTTGCGAAGTATTAGTGACTAGCAAAAATGCAGAAAGTCGCTACAAGCGGTGTGTACCAGCATGTCAGTATAGCAAACCCTCAGAGCACACCGTTGAATCTCTGCATGACTCCATGAGCACAGAACGACTTAGCTATCCTGAAGCCAGTGAACATTTCAATTCATCTGGACGGCAGGAGCTCTTGCACCAGGCCGCCCTGTGAATGATGAAACGCGATGTTTTTGGCGAAATGTTCAGGGGACATCGGATCACACTCTTAACTATCAATGGTATTAGACGTCAGGGCTTTGAACAGAACCCATGTTTTGAGTGGTTGTAGCGATCGACTTGTGCCATGCATATGCAGGTCTTGTTCTGGAATCGTTGCGACAATTAGCTAGCACGCTGTTCGGCTTTCAAGCAGCTGACCCGACGAAGTCACGGCACGAATGAAACTCAGGTCTTGCGGAGCGATGCAATGGATAAGTTCCAGATGAAGCCGCAGAATGCGGCATGGAGTGCTACTTGCTTGCACGCAAATGAACGAAGAAAAATCGAATTATAGGTCCCGAGCTTGACATTGCATACCGATAAGGACATGAAGCTCCTGCCTGCGGCTTACGGCAGACTCGGGTAGAAACTTGGTGGCGCTTGGCACTGTGTGCATTCTTCGATCTGCTTCTGAGATCGCCCTACGTCGTCGCGCAACCAGACGGACGAAAGCAGGATGCCGTCGCTCAGATTTTGGAGTGGTGCCGGCCCAAGCCTGAAGCGAACTCAGCTGGTCGTAGCGGGCCTGCAGTCTATTATTCATTTTGGAGCTGATACCCAGCATGCCTGCAGGTATGCATCTCAACAAGTGTGCATTCCGACACTTGGCTTTGCACTCATGGAGGCCTCTCGTACAGTGATGGGTCACCCTTAGTCGGAGAGAAATGGGCCAGCCAGTGGATAGAGCCAAAAATGCGCGGGATCTGGCTTTACCGTGGCAAGGAAGAGCAACACGTACTTCTTCGATGATAAGGACGCAAACATCCTTCCCTTCCGAGGCCCCAGGGGTTGGATGATGTTGCCGCTCTTCTTGAGTCTCGAGCTGATGTTGAAATCTCCGCCGTGCAACCTGAAAGGCTCCCTGTGCAGAGCTTGAGGCGTTTGTGTGTCTTGTGACTCCGAGTCGGTTTTCGGTGTATGCCTGGTGATCTTGTGTACGTCCATGTAGCTTCGCCGTGCGCAGAAAGCCACTGAGACCGCCAGAAGTGGAATTCTTGGCCGGACACTCCCAGGTTGTCAGGAATGGAAACGCTTAGGGCTTAGGGCGCCTTGGTGGTGTCTTGTCAAATGCGTTGTCTGGACTGAACGATCTGCCATCAGGGCTGGCTGAATCATGTGGCAGACCACAAGCTTCACACCTGGCAAAACCCAGAACCTGGCAGGAACTGGGATGAACGCCCATCAAATCTCCTGCGACTCTAGAGATCCTCAGCTTGGCTGGGGTGAGGTGGGTCGCTTGCCCGCATTCACAGGACTCCTCGTGTACTAGATCCTGTTTAGGAGCCGGGACTCGGCTGAGGGTTTACTCGTCTAGTATGTAGAATCTCAGTCGAAACTGCCAATTTACGGAAGCCGTTGGTGTGCATGTACTCGTATGTAGCAGGATGTATCTGTGCATGTAAAAATGTATGCAGGGAAGGATGTAGGTAGGTCTGAGGTAGGATGGGTAAGTAGGTGGGCATGTAGGTAGGTAGGATTATGTACATAATCTCATATAGGTATACAGGTAAATATACGTTTTCAAAAAACAGTGTGTATATATATATATGTATATACACACATATATGTATGTGTATATATATATATGTATATCCAGATGTACATGTATGTCTCTCCCCCTCTCCTCTCCTCTCCTCTCCTCTCCTCTCCTCTCTTTCTCTCTTTGCCTCGTCTGGCTGTTTCTCCGTCCCTCCGTTCGTCTGCTCGATCGATGGATGGATGGACGGATGGATTGAAAGATCGATAGACAACAGGTTGATAGATAGGTGGATAGAAGAAGTGGGTCAGATACACGGTTTGGATTGACATCGACGTAGACGAGCATGTACAAGTACTGTACTAGGTACTAGAACTTCGTCGTGTGCACCTGCATGCAGCTTCGCAGTTCAACCCGCCGCATACGTTTACATGTACTTATTCCTGCACGTGCCTATGCAGTTGGGCTGGTCGCACGGCATGCAGGCGCTAGTAGGTATGCGCAAGCTGGCCAGGTTTCTGCGGCGCAACACTCCCAGAGATCCGAGACCAGAAGGGCGTGACCGTTTGCAAGGTGTGGCTTTGTTGAGCCTCTTCTAAGCCTGTTTGCGTTCCCTAGCAGCTTGTGTATGCGAGCTACTCATGAAGAACATGGACCTCGGAACGAGGATCAAATGTAGGGACAACAGCAACTCCTCAATCTGCAGATCGACTGCAAATGGTCGGACTGGTCTGCATGGGGCGGTTGCTCGAAAAGCTGTGGCGGCGGATCCAGGCAAGTGCTGATATTTCCCCGTCGCAGTGAGTTTGATTTTGCACTTTCGAGAGTTTCTGCCCGAGCCTCGGACCTGCCAAGTTCCGAGGCAGCGAAATCGAAGAATAATCATCAAGACAAGGAATGGCGGGCAGGACCGAATAGCCCAAAGCCCTCTCCCTGCCTTGAGCTCGAAGCGGTGCCGCTTTGAGGACTGCCCTGGCAGCGCATTGGACCACCAGGACGTTTCGAACTGTGTAGGCTAACCCGGATGGCCGGCTAACTCTCGGGTGGTTGGGGACTTGTGGAGCAGAGCCGGGAATCCAGTACCTGGCAGGAGTGCAATGCGGAGGCTTGCCCCACAACGACCACTACAACGACGACAACGACGACGGCGACCGAGTCTGCGGCAGCTGTAGAGGCGACCGCAGAGGCAGACGACGAAGAGGACATTTCTGATGTTGATCGCAGTAACATGCAGTGAGCCAGCCCAAATGTACCATGAGATGCTGCATACCGTGCATCATCATGACTGCTTTGTTCAAAAGCTCCAGAGCTTCGGGAGGGTAGGAGAAATCTGTTGTGCCGAGGAGGCCTCATAATGCCTTGGCCAGCTTTGATAGCTGCGATGCGAAACTTTTGAAGGGTGCCCTGCAGCGGCAAAGCATGCAGATCAAAGGCATCCATGAGGTGCGAAGCAGTTGCAAAGCTTTGGGCTACCGTGCGCGAGTGCCGCGCATGGAGTCATCGTTTCCAGAGATGAACAGCTCGTCTTTCAATGGAGCTCTAGGAACTGGTAGTGGGCATCGGCCTTGTAGAGCCCCGATGTCGCAAAAGTTAGTGAAGTAGTTGGTGAGAGACCTTCGGTTTTTCTCAGCAGTCCAAGATGAGGCGCAGGAGTTCTTGAGAGTCATTCCAAAATCAAGCCTTCACACTTTCCCAAAAGCCTATCCGGGATTCTGACTATCTGTTGCTACCGACACCAACTTCGTTCAGCTTCAGACCCCCCAGCCCTCGGCTCATTGCACCCCCGCATGCTTCAGGGTCGTGATGCATTTGGAAAGAACCGACGGCTGGGGCTTTTGAGACGGGACAGAGGGACCTCCGATGTCATGTGGGTAGTTCGCTAAAACAGGGTCCCTTTTGGGGTCCCTTTTTTATTAGGGTGCCGTACTATATTGAGGACCCAAAAAGGGACCCTAACTTAGAGAACCACCCATGTAGTTGCATGAGCTTCGGCCTTCCGCCCCTTGAGCTATCTTCTGCAGCGGCCCGGGCTCGCCAAGGGCATGTGACAAGGCCCGATAAGTGCTAACCGCTGATACCCCGACCATCCGCAGATATGAGCCAGCACACCGAGAAAGGCAGCAGGCCCCACGTGCCACATCAAGTCCATTTGCTTCTGTTTCAGGGACCATTGGGCTCCCATCCCTTCTGCCTGATGTCTGTAGTATCTGATTTTCGCGGCATGGTACGGCAGCTGGACGGTGGCGCAATGCTTGCCGCGACCTCGGGATGCTTGTGGTTCTTGCTGATACGCATACACATGTATGGAATAAGAGAGAGACTTTGAGGCGTGGGCTGCAACATGGTTGTCCGAGAGCTTGCAGTGCATGTTCTATTTGGTGCCCCCGGAGCGCCTGGCTCTCACCAAAGGACAGAAGGTCCCAAACCTTGTCGCAAAACATGGCTTCGTTGGGATCTGAGTCGTTCTGCTCCACCCTTCCGTCAGATTATGTGGTTTGTCTTTCGCTGCAGCTGAGGGCATGTTTCTTCTCATGATTGCGACGGAGATTGGTGTCGGGACAGTCGTTGCCGAAAAGAGTCTGTATCGGTTCAATGACATGCTGGCATCCATCTCTTCTGGTACTTGTCAGCAGCTTGTGGTGGCCTTAATGTCCAAGTTTGCAGATCCCAAAGCGGCATACCGGTTGGTGAATGACACTTGCCGCCTGGTCGACTTCGATGTGAAAGGCCGGCCGCGTGTGTGTGTGTGTGTGTTCGTTCCGAACTTGCAGTAGAAGTTTCGTAGCTGCTCCCGGCACTTTGTGAAGTGACCCCTGACAATGCTCGAACTTTTGTTGCCGTGCCTTCAATCTGGAATCATCTTAGAATCTTAAGCATTGGAAGACAGTTCTTCAGGCAAGCCGCTCGCAACATGGATTTGCCTTTTCCTTGGTATGGACCTGGCCTACTACTGGGCTCACCGGAGCATGCATGAGCTGCATACCGGATGGGCTGCCCACAGTGCGCACCACTCCGGTGAAGACTCTTGGTGCTTGAAGTGGGCGGACATCACCTCTAGTGATTTTGCCTCACTTGCGATTCTTAGGACTACAACCTAGCCACGGCACTTCGGCAAGGAGCTTTGCAGCCCATGATGACGTGGATTTTTTCCTTGCCCCTTGCATTGGTCTTTCCGGCCGAGTCGATCTTGTTACCTGGATGCAGAGAGTACAGCATCTGTTTGTCGATTCCGACTGGCCCGTCGTTCGCTGAGCCTTGAAGCCGTGTGCTTCGAGAGTCTGTCCCTCCATGTCGAAGCTCAGGATACATACACAGCTCAACACACTGTACCAGTTCTGGATTCACACAGAACTGTGTGGCCGCCTGGGCATTCTGGAATACGTTTTCAACACTCCGTTCCACCACAGAATGCACCACCGCCCGCCTGGCAATTGCAACTATGGTGGGGTCCTGACCCCTGGCTTTTTGACGAACTGTCGGTTTCGAAACAGAGAACTTCGACACAGATAAAACATATCTTAAGTCTAAAGCTTGTCCAAACGCGGACGATGTTCAAGAGAACGAGGATCATCTGGGACCGACTTTTCAGCACCTACGAAGCTGAAACAGAGCGTCTGGATTATTTCGGGCTGGCACAGCCAGCGGGGACTTTCAATGCAGTGGAGTTAAACCTGCAGCACTGGCGCAAAATGGGCCGCTTTCATCTTCTACGAGGTGGCTGCTTCTGGCACCTGCTGCGCTCTTCGGTCTCCAAGCGCCGCTGAGATGACCAGAGCCCAGGGATTCACTCCTCGAATCTTAGAATGTGAAGGGAACAATCCGGCACTTCATTCTTGACCTCAGGAGCTCACCACAAGTTTTTATGGACGCCGAGCCAATTGCTTCATAAGTACGCGGCCATGCTGGAGGATAAGAGTTCGTGGAGCTTGCCCGAGAAGGAGGCCGTGTAGAAACAATCGAGGGGTGTGCTCAGCCATAGCTGATAGCTGCCATACCCAGATTCAGATGACTAAGTCTTAGACTTGGTTCGACGACAAGTCACGGATTGGTTTGGCATCACACGTGGCGTGGGCATCCAGTTTCATGTCCTTCGTATCAACACAGGTCAGACCAAAGTATCGTGGAGCAGATCTACAGTTGATTCTCGGCAGTCAAGGCTTTCAAGTTCGCAGACATAGTTCGGTGCTCCGATGGTGTCCTGGGTGTTGTGATACCCTTGGGTCGCCGGCTTCTGCTTGCTGCTCGTGAATGTCTCCTGCAAGTAGCTTAAGATCTTTGGATGTCCTTCATCGCTTTGCAGCCGAGGATTGGCAAAGCCGCTGCCATCGCAATGTACCTCGGCGGCTTCGTCTGCTTGCAAAGGGCTGAGCCGGCGGACCAGCGGGCGAAACTCCAGCTGCTGTGTGCTGCAGCCGGAGGCTTCACTTGGCTGCAAGCACTGGGTAGCTCGGCCAACTCGAATCGGCATTTGCATTTGCATCACAACATGAAGCCTCGAGAGTGTGCCAACGCTCCAGAAGGCGATTTTCTGGACAAGGGCTACCATTCATGGCTCGGTGGGAAGGTCTTCCTGGCCGCTGCGCTCACGGCCTTAGACTCCGGTGTCTTTGGATGGATGCCGCGTGCGTGAGAGTGATGTGCTCTTCACTGCACTTTGTGAGTCGGGGTGCAGGCTTATCTTACTTGGTGGTGGTAGTTGGCCTATCCAATGTTTACAATTCCCAGAGATTCCCTGTCCTGTGTGACAGTAGCGTAGCTGCCCCTGGATGGAGGATGCGAGGTGCGGTACTTGGCCGGCCACCCGCAAAATCTCTTCTGCGAGGAAATCAATTCTTGCTGAGCCATAGGATGCTGAAGAAGGGCTTTCCGAGCGAACACTTTTCCGAGGATGTGATGCACGCATGACATGTTGGCACTTCGTATGCTGACTGATCTGGGGTTGCCAGCTGCTCAAACTTGGGGACATAGGCAGCTAGGCAACTGGCAACCTGTGGAAAGTTTTTGGTGCGGCACTTACAGCTTCTCCATGCAGTCGGGATGCGGCAGTGTCACAGTGTGCCCCTGTATGCAAGAACCCTGTCCGAGCAGAGGAAGTATGGACTCCTTGATGGGGTCTTTGGTCTCTATGGTCAATCCACTTTCCTTCTCTTTTCCCGTGTGGTTGGCCTCCGTCGCAGCCAAGGCCCATTGATTTCGGGGGTTGTGCGCAGAGAACTCTTTCCTTCTCCAGGAAGTTGCCTTGCAAGCAGCTGACCTTGGCTTCCAGCTTAGTTGAAATAGGCGTTCCAAGGGTTCATGGCCACCTCCTTGAGAAGTCACGCCTGGGATCTGAGGCGTGACTTGTGCCTGCAGCTTCCTGAAGGAGCTGCCGAGCCGTACTGGTGACAAGGTATTGTACAAGAATCAGCTGCTTGATCATCATTGTGTCAGTGGAACTTCATGTCGCTACATATTATCGCCCTCTTTATTATTCTAACTACCCGAGTTCCTAGCGGAGGTTGGACAAGAAGGACTGGGCGGCACGGGCTTCGCGCATGGTTGCAGAATGTTCTTGTGAAAATGGCCGCAGGGCCCAGAAAGCGACAGGACATGCTGTTCCTTTCTATTAACGCCGTCATCGAGGCAGTTTTCACATGCCACATACTCAACGTGATGTCTCCAAGCCGCAAATGTTGTCAGTTGAAATTTGCTGAACTTGACACTTCGCACCGTGCCAATGCAGAATTTCACAGCATCAGCGGATGCGGCGTCCCGTTCTTCAGAAACCCAACTGAGGTGGAGCTCGCCCGTCATTTTTCGCAGCTGGAGCTCCTTCGGGATTCTGACAGGACCTCTGGCGCTTCTGTGCCCTGACTCGATTGGGAAGGAGGGATTTCGAAGAGAAATCAACAGAATTAACATGGGCTTTGTTCGTGCAGATTGTGCTCTAGTGTGCATTGGGAAGTATAGGTTGATCATTCTTCTCAACGACATGTTCTACGCTCCTGCTCATCGCCGCTTGTCCTTCATGATACGCTTGGCCGGTCGTTTCACCTCCAATCGTTGCAGTACAGCGCGACTGCCAGGTCTTGCCAGGGGACGGCTAGTTGCATGAGTTTCGATTGTGGGCGAGCCGAGGATTGCTGCATCATCCGTCCATCTACCCTTACATTCACAAACACCATCATCGCTCAGTCTATCCCGCACGTGGAAACATCGATGCTCGCAACGAGCATCCGGTCGAGCAGTTGATCCTTGCCTTGACAGAAGCATTGAAGCATCTTGAAGTCAGACTTGCAAAGAAAACGACAACTGCGCACATTTCAGATTTGGTGTGTTTTGCCGATGTTCCACTTCGATGCATGTGCCCTCGAAAGACTCTAAACGCTAGACTCGGAAGATCCGGAAGTGTCTCTGAGCTCAGGATTGCGATGTTCTTGTGGATGTGTGCTGTGCAAATAACTGCCCGCACCGTGGGCCTCCATGCGGCTGCTTTGGGTGCACATCTAGCCCTGATGACGACCGGAGCTTCGCTCAACCACGCTGGGTTCGACTTCGAAGTCCGCTTCCTAGGCCAGGCATGCGAAGCGTCGTCTTCCGCCACGATCTCCCAACCGTGTTCTGAGCAGGCATCGACTGGTATTCGACCGGCGCCCACGAGATGCACCACCGCCGGCCAGACAGAAATTTTGGGCAATTTACAATGCTTTGGGAGCCGGGGCTGCAGTACTGCGTTGCATACTGCATTGACCGATTCCCCCTGTGCATGACCCCATTGTCTCGGTACATGCCAAAATCCAGAAAAGACAAGGACAAGCTCATGGGAACATACATTCCCTACGATGACGGATCGGAACCAGCAAAGCGACGTCTGGAACAAAAGGCCGACTAAGCATAGACTGTCGAGCCTGAGGTATGGCACCTACTTGGATACTCAACGTATCTCAGTCTTAGGGTGCGACGCTGCCTAGCAGACTGAATTTTGCATGCCTGGACAAGACTGGCCTGTGCTAGTGTCCCTGCCTGACACCGGTTGCTTCATGATTGGCTTTGAGACTGTCAGCACCTGCAAGACTGTGGCTAACAGGCCTCAAGTCCCGCGCAGGTCAAGGTCAGGGAGCCAAAGCCCGACCCATTCTTTGTATTGGGTTATACTGTTATACTCTTATATACTTTCGCGAGTACTCAGTTCAACGTACTGTCTGGGCTTTGCGTTTGCTGATCTGAAATCTCGCCACTGCAGGTGTCCCAGTGCAACATACTTTCTTCGGTGGCTTTGCGGCCCGTTGTGAGTCTCTTGAACGTTTCTTACGCGATGTGTATATAGCAAAGCCTCTGCCTTCATGGGTCGCAGTTCGGAGGTCATAAACCTGCGCCCCGCTTTGCTCCTTCCTCGCTTGTTGCTGTGCCCTGCTGATTCCCGTGGCTTTGGCGCATATTGAGGCTGCCCGATGTGTTTCTGCTTGCTCAGCCCAACAGACCAACTTCGACACACTTCGTTGACGCCGTAACTCAACAGTTCTGTCATTTCATCGCCTGGGGTATACAAATTAATGGGCTTATACCGAGCTCGAGTCTTCGACGACTATGTATGATCCGTGCGGGAGAACATGTGAGCCCATCATGGCCGATGGAATTTCTGCTTGTGTTGGCCGGGGAGGTGGGGAATTGAGATTCGTTTTGGGCTGGGCTGGTCTCAAAGAATCTCGGGTTTCGGGCTGCTAGTTCTCCCATGTTGTCCAAGCGATTGCAGCACTTGCAGAGCTGCAAAGCTTGAAGTAGAGCGAGTTTGACAGATGTTGGCCCTACAGTCCTACAGGTGTTGATGACGGATCGCCCCAAGGTAAAGGAGTGACATGTCCCAACCACTCAGACGCTGCACATGCTGCAGGTGCCGACTTTTACAGATCAAGATCATGCTGACACAGGGCACACTTAGCAGTGCATGTGCCCGACTCCATTTCCTACCATGGTAAGCAATATAGTTATACTAGTTACTAGTTATCATTGTAGCGACTTCACAGGCGACCATCGTGAAACCTTAACAGGTTCAAAGGCAGAATAGAAGAGCGTCCAGCTGGACAGCAGTGGCTGGTCTTAGATGACTCCTTCATGGCAGGAAAAGTAAAGAAGCGCAGAGCTCCAGCAGCTGCCGAGCTGAAAACCCCGGTTGCCGAGAGCACGGGGGAGCTGGGCCAAGGCCCTCCTGCCAGAGCCAAGAGGAAGCTGGCGCGAAGGAAGGAAGTTGTCCAAAATGATGCTGAGGCCCCTCTTGCAGATTTGCCGGAGGAGCCTGAGCAGAAGCTCTTTCGGACAAACACCTCCTTTTCAAAACTCGGTCTGGCGAAGTGGATCGTCGATACATGTGGAAAGCTGGGCATGAATTACCCTACTGATATTCAAGCCATGGCCATCCCACCTGTGCTGTCTGGTAAGAATATAGCCGGAAATGCACGTACTGGCAGCGGCAAGACCGCATGCTACAGCCTGCCTATTCTTCACTTCCTGTCGAAGGATCCTTACGGCATCTTTGCCTTGATTCTCGTGCCTGTACGAGAGCTCGCCTTTCAGGTCGCCGACAATTTCCGTGCCATGGGCCAGGCTATCCACGTCAGCGTCGGGGAGATTGTCGGCGGACGGGATTTCTCCATTCAGAGCAGGCTGATCGCGGATCGGACCCATGTTTTGGTGGCCACGCCTGGAAGGCTGGCGGACCTCTTGCGGGGCGATTTTGCTTTGGCCAGGGCATTTCGCAAGCTGCATACTTTCGTCCTAGACGAAGCAGATACTTGGAATTGCAGCATTCCCCGCCACACCTGGCTAGAAGACTGAAGGCCAGTAGGGAGAACTCAGCGAAGGTCATAGAAATAGATAAATCAGATAATTTTGTATTAGATCTCTTTGCTCGCATCTAAGGATCAACTCCTGACAGAGACCTTCGAGGATCCTCTCAGCCGGATCTTGGAAGTGCTTCCGGAGTCACGGCAGACTTTATTCTTCTCGGCCACCATTACCGAGTGCATCGAGAAGTTGAGGAAAGGAAAAGATCTGATGCTAGTCGACGCGAACCCGAAGGAGGAGACCTTGCAGAACCTGACTCAACTGTATGTGTTCGTTCCCAAGTCCGTGCAGGTGAACTATTTGCACTTTCTGTTGAAAGCACACTTCTCAGACGAGAGCTGCATAATCTTTGCCCAGACAATCGAGGAATGCCAGATGTACACCACGATGTTGGATATCTTAGGTTTCGCAGTTACAGGCTTACATTCCCTGCAGTCACAGAGGCAACGACTTGCAAGCCTCGGCAAATTCCGAGCAAGCCGTGCCAGCATTCTGCTGGCCACTGATGTAGCCAGCCGAGGCCTAGACATCCCAATGGTTGGAGTCGTGATCAATGTTGGCCTGCCTTTCGACCCTGCCTCCTACGTCCATCGTGCTGGTCGCACTGCACGTGCTGGACGACCTGGGAAGGTGGTTTCTCTTATGTCAGAGCTGGATGTGCCCCGTGTGCAGGGCATCGAAAAGAGGATCGGCAAGCAGCTGCAGCTCTTGCCGACCAAAGAGGAAGAGGCGATCAAGCTTCTGTCCAGAACGACGAAAGCATATCAACGCGCAGAGCTGCTGCTGTCAGAGGTGGGTTTCACAGACCAGGTTGCCGAGCATCGTGGAGCGCAGCATGCCTCTAAGAAACCCAGAAAGCTACTTAAAGCTAAGCCCAACAGAAAGAAGTTGGCAACTTCGTAGCATGCTCTGGTCTCATCCGACACCGTCGCATCGGCAGAACCCGGAAAGATGTGGCTCAGCATCCAACAGAGTGTTGATCTCTGCAAGAAAAACCGGTCGGGGTGAGAAGCACGCCAGGCTTTAGGACTAAGTTGCTAGAAGGACTGACTGGAAAGAGCTAGAACAAGTCGGCAAAGGCTTTGGTGGAATCTCATAGCAGACCTTGGATGTAGGAATGTGGGGTGACGTAGGGCAGAAGTGAACATGAAGAGGCTCTACGACTCTACGAATTCTTTGCTGCCTTTGCATCTACCGACTAAACCGAGCACTCATCGCTGTTTCATTGACTGTCTTCCCAGGGTGGGCACATCAGCATACAAAACTACACATTGCAGATTGCCAGAGCTCTGCCAATGCCTGCCCCTGGCCTACCAGGCTTCCCTTCGTCGGGCAGAGAGATGCAGAGAGCCCGGCACCCAGTGGCCCAGCGCCGATCGCGGTCTTGCCTGGTGACCCATTGATGCTTCAGTACATACATAGCTCAGTCTACCGCAGGTGGAAATTGCACGCTGCCCATCAGGTGGTGGTACCCTGCAGCATCCTACAGCAAACCCTGCCATGAGTTCGCGGAGCAGAAGCGAACCGGAAAATCCGGGCCACTCCATGATAGCTCCCCAAAAGTCTTCACTCCACGTTGGAGAGAATCTTGATCAAGAAAAGCCGCCCCGTGTACCAAAGCGGAGAAGCTCGAAAACCAGAACCGAGACATTCAAAAAGTATGAAAACACCAAAGGTAGGCTCATGTCTATAGGCCCTAAGGCCAGTCCGGCAGCTGCAAGAATGAGCCATGCCACGCTCGGCCACCCCACCGGGTGCCGTTGGCACCCGCCGGTCGAAGCACGGCAGGGGGCTGGAACTTACCGATCAGAAGGAGCCCTGGGTGCCTGTGCGTGCCGTGTGGTCCCACGGAAAAGCTGCTTTAGTCACGCCTTCCGCGTTGTACAGGCGCAGACCACGGTGGCACAGCAGTTCCTGCAGGCCGGTCGCCGCTATTTAAGAGGAGAGCTGATTCATGTCCATGCCGATTCCTTCCTAGACTCCTAGACTGTTCGGGAGCGCAGCAACCATTGGCAAGAATGTGCACAGTCTGCAGGCGGCTGCCGATGGGTTGACCACTGGCGCCGTCTCCGCGCTTCGGAAGACGTTGCCGGCTGGCCTGCGCCCTGCAGCTTCTCGCTCTCCCAGGACTTGTGTCTAAATGGAGTATTGGCTCTCCAACTAGGACTCCAAAGCCCTTCTCCGTGCGGCTCACTACTTTGAAGATTGTGTCCGCACATATCATGCGACCCGAACACTACGTAGACATATGCCTTGCCTCCCTCGTGTCCTAAGCCTGCATTTCGGCATTCGGGAACCGGGCGATATTCCTCCTCCACGGGATGGCCTAGACTTGTTCTTTTCCTGTTGTGCACACCGCTGCTGTCGGAACCTACGTACTATAGGAGCAAGAGCAAGGGCCGGAAAGAAGAGACTGTCCGGCGACACTCTGCTCATGCTGCCTCCACGAAAGAGGCGAGGACCAATACTGGAGGCCAGTTCTGGAGCTGACCTTTCGACTGCTTCATAGTTTCAGTGTCATGCTGGCGCAGGTCTGGTTTCGGTGTTGAGTATTCCATGATATTATCTCCCCGTGAAGGCAGTGCATCGGCCTTCCTCTTCAACGCCTGCGAGCGGAGCGAGCGTCGTGCCTCGTCCATCAGTGCAGCCACTGAAGCAGCTGTGCAAGCCATTGCTACAGAGATCCTGGAAGCACAGGACTGAGATGCTGTTTGCTGCCCTGTTGTTTCGTTTGCGCACTCAGCCTGCACGTAGAGGGGAACAGTGAGAGGGCTCTTGCCTGCAGGATGTCGCAGCTGTGCAGAGGAAAGCGGCGCCACAGTCCAGCCAAGCCACCTGGCACACTACCGGCCGGTCTCATCTGTAGAGCCCTTGGTCAAGTGTGGCGCGAACGGCTAGTGATATGTTACAGCTCTATCTGAATCTGGATTTGTAGTCTTGCATGTCGTGCAGGTGCTTGAATCTAGAAGCTTTCTCAACGAGCGCTGTGCACAGGGTCGGCACCCTTTGCTCACCGAAAGATTAAGGATCTGTGTCAGGCGTTAGCGCCTCGAACAGAGCCACCTGACCCTTGGGCTTCCTCCAGTGAATCAGATGCCGAATCCGAAGCCTCGCAGAAGGACCTGGGTGACGGGGAACGACAGCCGGTACAGCCTACCAGGGAGCCCTGAACGATCCGGCTCGGCTTTTCTGTGCGTTAGCAGGAGCTGGCGTCCTCCGCAACTCTATCAGCGCCGGCTCTTCAGGATCAGGCGCTGAGCAGCGTGAAGAGATCAAGTGCTGCGCGGGTCGGTTACGCTCGAGGCTAGCGCCTCGATCTCCACCATCCGGAGCCGCGGCTCCTCCTCCCGACAATCTGCAGAGCCTGAAGGGGAACCTGCAGAGCTGCAACGCAGTCGGGGGAGGGAGCCGCATGAGCCGCGGGAGCGCGACGGAGGCTTGCATGTAATGTTTCTTGCTGGGCAGTATATATATATATACACATACACACACACACACATATATATCTATATGTGTGTGTGT